CAAAGTGGGAACCTCCATCACTAATTAGCACCCTAGGAACCCCAAACGGTGGAAAGATGATTTTCTTGAGAAGCTTAAGCACAACCTTATGATCATTGGTAGGGGAAGGTATGGCTTCAATCCACTTAGTCATATAGTCAACCGCTACCAAGATGTATAAATTCCCACATGAGGAGACAAAAGGCCCCATAAAGTCGACACCCCAAACATCAAAAGGCTCAACTTCCAAAATGTTTTGTTGAGGCATTTCATCTCTTTTGGTTATGCTACCACTTCTTTGGCACGTATCGCATCTTGAAACAAACTTGTGAGCATCCTTATGCATCGTTGGCCACCATCTAGGATGCATGGACACTTTGTCCAACAGCCGTGTCTGTGTCCGACACCATGTCCGACACCGACACTCGTTCGACACACTACAGACACATATAAAAACTGCATCCGTTTTTTTAATATATTTAGATACTTTGAGAGAAAACATATCCTACTATGATACGATCCGGTTTGCATTTTGATATGTCATCTCATCTTTTTTAACTTTTTTAATTAGAAAGTTAAGGTAAAGTATGAGAGAAAAAGGTAAGAGTTATAATGCGAGCGCCTTCAAAACATATTTCATAGCACATTATTGTATGTGAATTAGGAGAATATTATTTAGCTACGGTAAATGACTTGTTTTAAGGTTATTATTTAGTGTTTTGTTGAATAGGTTGTCAAAATCTCGTTTTTTTTGATATATTATTTATCTTGTTATTTGTCGTACTCGTGTCCCCTATTTTAGGATTGTTGTTTTTCCGTATCCGTGTCCGTGTCCGTATCGGTGCAACCTAGGCCACCATAGGAGAGACTGGGAATTATTTGCTACCGTCTTATCAACCCCCCCCCCCAAGTCCTCCACATGGAAATGAGTGGCAATGCTCAAGAACTCCTTCAATTTCATGGTCCGGAACACATTTCCGAAAAAGGCCATCTCCACACTGTTTAAACAAGTACGGGTCATTCCAAAAGTATCTCCTAACTTCCTTGAAAAACCTCTTCTTTTGTTGAGAAGAGAACTCCGGGGGAATTACTCTGCAAGCAAGATAGTTGGCTATATTCGCATACCATGGGCTAGATGTTGAAGCTATAGCCATAAGAGTTTCAAATCCTACCTCTTCATTTTTTGGTACATCCTCCTTGATCTCAAAAGGAAGCCTAGACAAATGATCCGCGACATAGTTCTCCACTCCCTTTTTATCTCTCATCTCCATGTAAAAATCTTGAAGCGAAAGAACCCAACGGATGAGGCGTGGATTTTCTTCCTTCTTGGTCATAAGATAGCGAACCGCTATATGATCCATGTACATAATCACTTTGGAGAAAATATGATAGGACCGAAATTTGTCCATGGCAAACAAAATCGCAAGCATTTACTTCTCTGTCGTTGTGTAATTCTTTTAAGCTTCATCAAGAGTTCTACTTGCATAGTAGATGACATGAGATCTTCCTTCTTTCTTTTTCCCAAGCACCGCACCTATTGCAAAATCACTCGCATCGCACATTAGCTTAAAAGGTAAGCTCCAATCCAGAGCTTGCACAACGGGAGAGGAAATGAGAGCTTCCTTGAGCTTTTGAAATGCCTCAAGACAAGCCTCATTAAAGCTAAACTCAACATCTTTATTGAGTAATTCGGTCAAAGGTTTGGCGATTGATGAAATTTTTTTGATAAACCTCCGGTAAAAACCGGCATACCCTTGAAAAGCTCTCACTCCCGTAACGGAAGTAGGAGGGGGCAACTTTGCAATCACCGAAACTTTGGTCGAATCAACCTCAATGCCCTTCTTTGACACTTTATGGCCTAGGACAATACCGCACTCAACCATAAAGTGGCATTTCTCCCTATTTAAAACCAAACTCGTTTCTTGACACCTTTTCAAAAAATTTCATGATTATAAAGACAAGTGTCAAAAGATGAGCCACTAACACTAAAATCATCCATGAAAACCTCAATCTCATTTTCAAGCATCTCGGAAAAAATGAAAGTCATGCATCGTTGGAATGTTGAAGGATCATTGCATAACCCAAATGGAATTCTTCGGTATGCGAATGTTCCATATGGACGTGTGAAAGTGGTTTTCTCTTGGTCATTTAGGTGGATACTGAAAGGAATGGTGTCCTTCCAACAAGTGCATTCTTTCCGATAGAGGGTTCAGAATTATTACGGAGCTAATTCTTCAGCAAGGTCAAGTGATCGGAACGCCTACGTGGAGGCCGCTTCCGATCAGTAATATCAAGGTACAATTGATATTACAGCTTGATCTTAACTGAACCCTTCGGGTGGAACCCAATCGAATCACCGATCCGAGACGACGAATTAATCCGAAAGGATTTAATAAGTCGACAGAGTTTTACGAATACAGACGTCGGAAATCGAGCCTAGGGCGTCGAGACCGAACGTCGCAAAATCACAAGCAACAAGTATGAGCGTAGCCGTAGCTAGGCTAGGCTAGCTCATAGCAATCCTAGGTGCACCATGTGTGTGCTAGGCGCACCATGGTGTGCTAGGCACTATTGCAGCCTAGGCGTGCCCAGCCAGCCCATCGCAAGCTAGCAGCGTGCTAGCATGGGTACCTGGGTGCACATGGCAGCTATCGTAAGCCCCATAAGCACCAGGAAGCCCATCGCAGCTACCAGCGTGCTAGCCTGGGTGCCTAGGTGCGCATGGGCACTATCGCAGCCTTAGCATCATGCCTAGGCGCGCTATCGCAGCCTTAGCATGATGCCTAGGCACTATCGAACACCATCACAACACAGAAGGGCCACACACGCACCAAGCATAGTCATCGCAGTGCTAGGCACTGGCTGATGCGTGCTAGTGCGAGGATGCCTGGCAGCATCGCACAGCACGCATGCTAGGCCTTGCGTGCGTAGGCTCGCTGGCTGGGCTAGCAATGGCGTGAGGCTGGTGCGTGGTGCGTGGTGCGATGCGTGTTGTGCATGACTAGTGCGCATGGTGCGTAGCTAGTGCATGTGTGAGGGATGCTGCGAGGTGTGTGCGTATGGTGCGAGACAAAGGGGGCCAGCATGCGTGGCTCGCTAGCAGCACGCATGCTGGATATGCGAGGGTGTGCGTGGTGCGTGAGGTGTGTGCGTGTGTGCGTGGGATGCTGGGGCCAGCGCCAGCACGCACCAGCGCCTAGCACTAGCACGCACCAGCGCCAAGCATCAACCAGCACTGCCTAGCTGGGATGCGAGGCTGGGATGGTGCGGGTTGGCTGGGCTGGCTGGCACATGCTAGCTGGCAGCAGCCCAGCACCCCTTGTGAGTGGCGGTTTAAGGAGAGGTGGGGACCAAAGCCACCACGCTTCCCTTAGGGAGCAAGGCAATGGTCCCCCTCATGGGATATGGTCCTCACCTAACCCATTTTCTCCTTTTGCCACTTGTTGGCTTGTGATTGCTTTTGCCTAATTATTTATTTTGGAATTAAATAAATTATTGCAATTGCACATGATCCCACATTGATCATGAAAAGGGGTTTCAAGTCCCCATTCTCTATAAATACCCACTTGGTTGGGATTTTGAGAATACAACCTTGAGTGGAATTAAAAAGGCAACTCTAAGAAAGAGTAAACCTTTGATTCGTAAAACTCATAGTTATTTTGTCCGGGTCTTGACTAACCTTCAAGACTTAGGACGCTCGGGTCGGGTCGAGGGTACGATCCGTCCGAGATCTCGTCTTTTCGGGATTTTGAAGTAAGAGCTCTTTGGGAGCGAAGCACGCGTCAAAGGTATATTTCTTGTTCTTAATCTTGTTTGATTAAGTTTATTATGCTTGTTAATTGCTTTAATTAAGGAGCTAGTCTTGGTGGGTTTCCTTCCGCGTAGTGTCGGGTCACTACGAAACCCTACAGATAAGGATTTGGAAAAACCTGGAGTACCCATCCAAAAAACAAAAGAAAGCATGGTGAGAAAGTCTCTCCAACATTTGGTCCATGATGGGGAGAGGAAAATGGTCTTTCCTTGTATATTTGTTTAACCTCCTATAATCAATACACATTCTCCACCCAGTCACCGTCCGTGTGGAGATATCCTCTCCTCCTTCTCCCTTGACGATGGTCATTCCACCTTTCTTTGGAACCACGTGAATCGGGCTAACCCACTTGCTATCGGAGATAGCATAAATTAAGCCCGCTTCACGCAATTTCAAGATTTCCTTTTTGACAACCTCTTGGAGGTTGGGATTCAACCTCCTTTGAGGTTCAATTGAGTTGGATTGATCATCCTCAAGATGAATACGATGCATGCACAAAGAGGGGCTAATACCCTTTATATCGTCAATTATATACCCTATCACATTTCAATATTTTCTCAACAAAACAAGCAATTTTTCCAAATCAAGACCATAAAGGGTAGCATTGACAATAATAGGGTATTCCCCTTCTTTTCCAAGATAAGCATATTTCAAAGAGGGGGAAGGGGTTTGAGTTCTACCTTGGGAGGAGGCTTGGAACTCTCCTCCATTTTATCCTCCTTTAGTTCAAGCTCTTTTGTATCTTCTTGTTGTTCATGGTCTTCTTCCATTTGAGTTTCTTCCATGGCCATGACAAACTCTTTTGCTTCTTGAGAGTGGTACTCTTCCTTGCAATTAAGAGCATCAACCATTGGATCTTAAGGCTTCATCATAACCCTTCCCAAGCAATCTAACTCCTCACTCACACATCAACCCTATAGCATTTTTCAACCATGGGGGTCTTGAGTAACTTAGAGAACTAAAAAACAATCTTTTCATCAGCAACCTCACATGTAATGGTGTTGTTCTTGCAGTTGATCACCGCCCCCAAAGTCTTAAGAGCTTCATGACCCAAAATCAAAGGAGTATCAACATCTTCCTCCATATCCATCACTACAAAATCACAAGGCACGTAAATATGCCCAACTTGAATACGAACATCTTCAAGCTCACCACAAGGTAAATTCACCGAACAGTCGGCCAATTGGATAGTTTTCCTTGTAGGGATCATTTAAATGTTAAGCTTTTGAGCAATGGATAGAGGAATCAAACTAACACTTGCTCCAAGATCGGCTAAGGCGTCCCTAACTTCCATGTTCCCAATCTTTACCGGCAAAGTGAAACTTCCCGGATCTTTTTGCTTCTTGGGCATCTTATGTTGGACAAGTGCACTCACTTGATGGGGGATAGGGATAAGCTCATCATTAAGCTTCCTCTTGTTGGTGAGAATATATTTTAGGAACTTGGAGTATGAAGGCATTTGTGTGACAACTTCGATAAAAGGGAGGTTGATGTGCAAATTCTTCATCACACTAAGGAACTTTGCAAACTTGTCATTAAACTTCCTCTCCGCAAGTCGGCGAGGAAATGGAACCGGCCCATCAAGATTCCTAGCCTCACTAGGATTTGAAGTTGTCATCTCATCTTTAAACTTCTTTTTCTCCACACTTCCTACTTTCTCAACAACCTTCTCTTCCTCAACTTTCTTGTCTTCACCCACACTCTCTTCTCCTTCCTTCTTTTCCTCACTAAACCCTCCTTAGGACCATCATAGGATGTACCTGATCTCAATGTGATTGCCTTGTAAGAATCGGGTTTTATGATGTTGGATGGGTTAGTTTGTGATTGTCCGGGTAGAGTAGAAGGTGAATTGAAAGGGACTCTCTCAACCAATTGAGCTAATTTTGAATCAACCATCTTGTTATGAGCCTTGACATCTTGCATTTGTTGATTCATGGCTTGAAGTTGTTGAAGAATTCGGGTTTGTGTAGAATCGGGTTGAGATGCTTGCTCTTGGCTCCTTTGAGACACTTGATTTTGATTGTTGTATTGGCTTTGATTATTGTGTTGGTTGTTTCTCGGGTAATTTCCTCTTGGGTTTTGGTTTTGAAATGGAGGTGGGTTTTGGTATTGAGGGTTAGTTGGAGTTGTATGATTTTTAAGCTTGTTGACTCCATTGTTGAGGTTGGTGTGCAAATCCGGGTGGTGGTTGCCTCCAAGCTACTCCACCACCACTTCCCCTATATCCATCTTGCCTTGTGTTGTATGCCGCCACATGCTCAGGGCTCAAACCTCCATAATAAGATTTATCGTGGTTTGTACCACCATAATTTTGACAAGAGAAAGAATTGACTTGAGAAGAGCTTGCCCCACTGTTAACACTCGTATTCAACTTTGCAAGCCCTTTGTCAAAAGCTAAATTTGATGTTGCAATTGATCAACCTTTTCTAATTCATGAATCCCACCTTTCTTTGGTGCGTTCCTCCTTCTACCACCCCAAGAGTAGTTCTTCGCTACCTCTTCAATTGTTGCTTCAACTTGATTTTGGGGGATCTTAATCAATTGTCCACCCGCCCCCGCATCCAAGTTAGCTCTAGACATGGGTTCCAATCCATCATAGAATAATCGCATGAGCAAGCTTTGATTATATTTATGGTGGGGACATGCTTGTACCAACTCCTTGAACCTTTCTCAAGCTTCACTATTACTCTCATCCGCTTCTTGTTCAAATGATGCAATCTTCCTTCTAATTTCGGCGGTCTTTTCTTCGGAAATTAACCTCTTCAAGAATGCCTTGACTATCTCTCTCCATGTTCTAAGAGAATTTTGCTTAACTTATTTGAGCCACTTCTTTGCTCTACCCGAAAGAGATGGTCGAAATAAGTGCATACGGATGTATTTTTGAGAAACTTTATTGGTTTGAATCATGGCACAAAGCTCAAGGAGTCTATCAAGGTGCTTAATAGGATCTTCACTTGGAGAACCCGAAAATTGTTCCACTTGTACCATTCTAGTGTATTGAGAATGAATGGTAAAATTGGTTTCCGTGACGGGTAGCAAAATCCCTCCCGTGAGCTCATAATCCTCCGAATTCCCAAACTCACGAAACAAAACATGATTGGAGCCCCCTCTCCCTAGTGTTTTTTATCATATTTCCCTTAAAATCTTATTTTTCATCTTTATTTTAGTGATTCTAGTTTAACTCCATATTTTGCTTATTTTAATCCTTTTTTTGTAGATAGTTAAATCTTAGATATTCACAAAAACAAAACAAAATACCCCTTGTTACTTGTAATAAATTCTTAATTCCACTTTGATTGTACAATACCCCGTTTCCTTGTGGTTCAACCCTACCTTGCCACTATCTAGTGTGAACTTGATAGAGTTAGTTTAGGAATATAAATTGTTGGTTTGATTTAGGATAGTAGACACAACCTATTGTACGCCGATTAAAGTTTTGGCGCCGTTGCCGGGGAAACAACTAGTTTTGCACTATTATTGTGTTGATATTGGATTTGTTGCTTTTCATTTTGTTCCTTTACTCTCTTGCTAGTCATTGCTAATCGTTTGCTTAGCATTGGTGGATGCTAAGGAGATCTCAAGGACCACCTACACATTACATTAACCACAACATCGACCGCACTTTGAGACAAGTCCGTAGGCTTTATCAAGAAGAGGGGCAAGGTCTTGGTGCTATTGTTGAGAGTGAGAGTGATTCTTGGTCTTCGAATTCTCAAAGTGAGGCAATGGCGGGAAAAGAAGATGATGATCAACTAAGACAACTATGATAATCATCATGGATTCATTCCAAGGAGTACAAACTCTACTCAAAATAATTCATTTTCATGCAATCACTCAAAGCAAGTCGATGAAATCGATCAAACCTAAACTAGATCATTCTTATGCATCTAATCTAGAACTCATATATTGGGGCTAAAGGTGCACAACAGTAGCTCCAAGCATTTTAAGCACAAAATCATCAACTCAAGGCATAACCCAATCAATCATCAATATAAACTCAATCAATCATGATTTTCACCCCCTTCCCTAGCTAGAAATCTAAGCTAGGGAAAAAAAGATAGTCATACCAACTACTCTAAACATGGATTCAATCCTAACAAAACTAATCATGATTCAAAACCAAAGAAAAAGCAATGAAATAAGTAAAAGCAAAGAACTTTATGGAAATAAGCACTATTAAGAGCAATAAAACCAAACAAAAGATAAGGGGTAAAGAGATTACTACTATTAAGCTTGAAGGATTAAGTAAACATGGACTAGTTGCATTGAAAAGATGAAAACTTGAAGGAAGCTTGAAAAGATCATGATTACAATAATGGAAACTTGAAGATTAAGCTATTTTCTCTCTAAAATGTTGATATCCTCTCTCTACAAAAATGTTCTAGATGGCAATGGAATGGTGAATGTCATGAAATTTCAATCCAAGGACTATTTATAGTCTCTTGGTACAACAAGGGAACCGAGTGGAGGAGATGCCTCTCCAGGAAGCTGTCGCGCCCTCTCCGCTATGGGTACGAAGTTGGGAAAACCCAACTCGCTGCGCCTGCGGCCACCTGGGTTGTGCCCTCTTTAAGCCTTCTCCCAGCCATCTCCAGAAACTGACGCTCAGCTCGGAACCTTGACCCGCACCCGCGGCCTGCAATGTGTTGCGCGCCCTCTCCTTTAGGCATCTCCTCTTCTTGGACAAAGCCACAATAGCAATTTCAATTCCATTGAGCAACTCAAATTCTGCCTACGAGTGCCAAGAGCTATCAAAACAAACAAACAAAAGATAAAAAGAAAAAGAAAAGATAAAAGAAAAGGAAAAACACGAGAAAGAACAAACGTAACTAAAACAGAAGTAAAAATGGTAAGAGAAGGCACAAACAAGTGACAAATTAGGGAAATTCATTAGTGAAAAAGGGTGAAATAGTGGCACAAACGCCACTCATCAGCGGCACCTATATTGTGCCGGTTTGTAACACCCCCAAATCTCCCTCTACGGAATATGTAGAAAATACGTATAAATACCATATAGATAGACTTGGGCGTATTACCGCCGCGTGATAACGCAAGGCTCATACTTTGAAAATACTTTTGCAGCGAAAATTCTTTATTCTTATTAATAAAACTTTAAATAAACTTGTTCATAAATTGTGACACAAAAACGACTCCAACTTTTCTTAAGCTAGGTGAAATTCCCGTGGACTCCCGTATGCATCAATCAACTTCCACCTGAAACATTCACCTGCTTACCATAAATGGTAAACAGGGCAAAGCCAAAACAAAAGCACATATTAGCAATTATGCTAAGTAGGTTATGTGTAAGATAAGTAAAACATAATTTAAATCATTTAAGTTTAATTCAAAGAATTCCAATGCCATACTCATGTAAGAGCTTTTCCAATTCAATGCTTTCAAGACAAGTTTAAAACTCAATCGATTACGTTCCAAAACCATTTCCTCACTAAGTGTGCACACCCCCCAAGTGGTTTACTTTATGAACAAAGGCCAATCTTGAGGAAAGACTAGGTCATGCAAAGTCCATAGTTTTCTCTAATCCATTCCCTAAGTGGGATTCATAACCATATCGATTGATTTACTTAAAAGCACCTTTTAAAAAAAAATCCATCATTCTTGAATATTAAGAAACCTGTAAATCAATTTTAATCCAATCCTTTTTAATAATTTTAATCATAATTCAAAGTCTATTTTGATTAACCAAAAATCATTAATTCAAACCATTATGAAACATAAATTTATAAGGAACATAATAAGATACAATTTCATGGACAACTTTCGATGGTATCAAACCACATAACGTACCTTAATTCCGAATATCAATCAACACTTCGCACTTTCAAAGTTCAATCACGAATACACCTTGCAATTAACATAACCATACGGTTATCACAACATCTTTAGACATAAACCCAAATCTAATGTGCATGGACTACAATACTCTTTTAAAAATGATACTTTAATATAAAATTATAACTATGAAATAGGTAATTATATTTTAGAAAACTAACCATGAAGAAAATAAAGGAATAGGATTAAAGGAAATTGAATTTGCGTTGGAAAGGATAGGCAGAACTTGGAGAGGTCATAACTCCTTTGATATAACTTATAATTGGGTGATTCTTGAGCCTAACCTCACTTATTTTTCAAGAGGAATAATTTTGTATGAAATAGAAAAATCCAAAAACGGACTAGAAGTGCCCGAAAATTGGATCCAAAGATATACGGACAGATTTTCTTTTAGAAAAGAGGAAAAGAAAAATAGGAAAAGTTTGAGGGAAAAGAAGAGTAAAAGAAAATAAGGGAATTGAGTTTTTGGTGTGAAGAATATGAGAGGTATGAGGGGGTATTTATAGGTGTTTAGGTGATGAGTTTATAGCAATTTAGGGTTGTATAATTTATGGAAATTTAAAGAATAGAAATTAGGATTTTAAATGTATGGAAGGATATTAGATTTTATTTGATCATGAAATTTTTTTTGGTAGGTTTTGAGCTTGGAGTGCAAGTATAGAATAGGATCAAATAACTTTTAGATTTAAGAATAGAAATAAGAAAATTTAAGGGATTTTATTTTTAATAAAATAAATTAAAAATCCTTTAGAAAATTCATGAGTGGCCGAAAATATTGAGCTAAATATCGTTCAATATTTTTGGTCCTCTTATGTTAGTTTAGGGATTTTGTAAAATAAATTATTTTCCTAAAATTAATAATCCAATAAAATTTATTTTGTGAAAATTAATACTTGAAAGAATAAAATCATATTTTTATTAAATAATTGGGGTGGCCGAAAATTTGACTTATAATAATTAATTAAATCAGATTTTTATTATATAAAATCTGAAAATTAATATATTTCATGAAAATAATTAATATGGAAAGATATTGAAACAATTTAGATTTTTATTCTATAAAAACCGAAAATACAGTTTAATTAATCTACCGAATTAATATAATTTCGGTTTAGCTATTTAATTTTGAGAAATCAAAAATACTATTTATAACATAAGTATAAAATAGTTTCATTTATTGGATTATCCAGTTTAATTAGTTTTGTAAAATAATGATTTAGGCGCCAAAATTTAAATATCATTTTGGCTCCAAAACTAAAATACTCTTTAGGAAAATAATTAATTTAGATAATACGTCAAAAATACGAGACTAAAATACTCTTTAATTTAGAAAATACCTTTTAAAAATACGGGGTATTACACGGTTGCTGGACGAATCCCCCAATTGGGTAACCTGAGATTTGACTCGCATGTGCCCAAGCGGCCATGGGAGATCAAAGCGGTTAGTCATACCTTGAGGTTCCGACTAAGGGGTCTCCCCACCCCCAATCGCTGCAGTACCGAATGCAACATTGGTGGCATGCCACCTTTTGGCGCCGTAGAGATGCCCGGCTCTTTGCCAGCCGGCTTAGTGCTTAGACCAAGATCCTTCAGGATCTTGCCTGCAGAGTTTGGTCGGTCCTGCATAGGTGGCCGAGATGATGTCGTCTAGGTAGGCTGGGCCTTCCTTGATTTAGAGGAAGTCTTGGAAAGCTCATCATCCTTCCGTTTAAGCATCTTGGAGATGGATCGTGGAATGTTATTGCTTCCACTCTAAAAAAGGAATACAGGGGTTACAGCCGGTTAAAAGCCATCTAATGACAATAAATGTTTACACAAGTTAAAAGACACAACCAGAGCTTACACCATCATTCTTGGCCGCCAGCTAGGCCCTTTTCTTCCCAAGTTGATCCATCTAGATCTGAGATGTTAACCTGGCAGGCGTCCTTGCAGAGTCCACCATTGTTAGAGCTTTTTCTACAAAAGAGAACCGGTTGGTTAAAGACAGAACAAATCACAAAACCCTAGAGACGGCAACAAAGTGTCGGTTAGATGGTCAACGTACGTCTCTCAAACATGGTACGAAGACCACAGGTGGAGAGTAAAGACTCATCCTTGAGCCAATATCCAGATGGAGCACCCAATTCTAGGGTACAATT